TCAAGGAATTTTCCAAATCGGACCACTATATTATATAGCTGCCATACAAACTGAACGATCAAAATAAAGTTCTTGTATGGAAAACTTTTTATTTTAACGAGATATTTTCACAAAATTTGGCACGGATTATTTTCCAAAAACGACGCTAAAATATTTATAGGAATTTTCCAAATCGGACCACTATATCATATAGCCGCCATACAAACTGAACGATCAAAATAAAGTTCTTGTATGGAAAACTTTTTATTTTGACGAGATATTTTCACAAAATTTGGCACGGATTATTTTCCAAAAACGACGCCAAAATATTTCAAGGAAGTTTCCAAATCGGACCACTATATTATATAGCTGCCATACAAACTGAACGATCAAAATAAAGTTCTTGTAAGAAAACCTTTTTTAATTTGAAGCGATATTTTCACAAAATTTAGCATGAATTATTTTTCAAAAACGACGCCAAAATATTTCAGGGAATTTTCCAATTCGGGTCACTATATCATATAGCTGCCATACAAACTGAACGATCAAAATAAAGTTCTTGTATTGAAAACTTTTTATTTTGACGATATATTTTCACAAAATTTGGCACGGATTATTTTCCAAAAACGACGCAAAAATATTTCAAGGAATTTTCCAAATGGGACCACTATATCATATAGCTGCCATACAAATTGAACATTCAAAACTAAGCTTTAGTATGAAATTTATTTATTTATGAATGGTATTCCAGCAACGGCGTAATTTTTATTTAAGTCTAACGTAGTTTTACCTACTCAACCACCCTGTCTTTAGTTTGCGTTCATCAAAAAATTCTATTCCATGAAATATAACGCCGCACACACATAGGCACTTCCCCCTTTATGAAAAAGTATCAAAAAAGAAGAAAACACTGCCATAGAAGCCACAGAACAACAGTGAAAACCGGTCAAAGCGCAGACAAAGGAAACGCACTTTTTAGCAACTTTGGCAGCTTAAAAAAGTGTAGAGCCAAAAGCGAAATATGAGCGCACGTATGGCTACTCTGACATATACATATACCCTTAAGTGCGTTTGTGTATGTGCAATATGTGTGCCGCTATCTGCCTAATGCAACCCAAGGGAGTTATATATTTGCTTTAGCAATTTCCTAAATCCTTCACTTAGTTACTTTGGTGCAATCAAGCTCAACGCGCGCGGCATTACTTTGAGAGCGGCGAACAATTTTCGAGAAAAAGGCAACAATTTAGCAAGTGTAGGAAGCCAAACTGGTGATGCTACCAGCATTTGTGGCATGTAGATGTAATCGTACATATGTGTAATCATATGAGTGAGTACATATTTTTTTGTATATGTGTAAATATGTGCCTGTGTGCACTTTCTAATTTTATTGTTGCCCCACAAAGGCGTACAATCGCCGGCCACCAAATTTTCATTCGACACCAGCAGCAATTTCTTT